CACGTAAGCCCCGGGCAATCCTGGGCAGCTGAATTTGAAATCTTTTTGTCGTACATAGGTAGAGAACATTCTGCCAAGGTCTCAGCTTTCTAGCTTTTCTCGCTCCCGAGTTAGCGATTTTCGCGCCAAAACTTTCACGTGCTCGCATGCGGGGCCCAGACGTGCATGAGGGTTGAAACCGTGGTTCTGGGGCGGTATTTGGCTGTGGAACACACTGGCAAAATTTGAGCTTCAAAGCTTGCGTGGTTAGCGAATTGAAATACCCGGACAGACGATCACACACACACACACACAAACATACACAAAAACACTGACAAGGTTGTTGCAACATGCGTTTTTGCTGCCTGTTGCAGCGTTCTAGCGCTGTACGGCAAAAACGCATAAAAAGTAGAAGAGTGGCTGCCTTTTTCTTTACTCCCTCTTTTCCTGCCCTTCCTTCTTTCCTTCCCTCATAAGTACGCCACTGCTACCAATCGACCTAAAGCCTGATTACCACCATGGCGGTCTCGGTGCTGACTGGCACTCCACTGCACTCGACAGCTGCATCCGGTGTGAAACCATTGAAAGCTTTGCAAATTCTTTGAGCTGCTTCGATGGGTTGTAAGTCCTTCACGTTGATTGCTTCCAACGCTCCAAGTTCTTTAGCTAATTTTAATCGGCTCTCCACGACATCCGTTATCACCACGCGTGATGCTCCGTAAGCTTTGGCAGTTAATAGGCATAGCAAGCCAATTGGTCCTGAAGCATCTTTGTTATGACAAGAAAATTTTGCTGGAAAGCTGAGATTTTGGAAAATTGGCCATTGCTCTGCAATGGCCCAGATTTCTAATAACTGCCTTCTCATTTTAAGAGCTTTCAAACTGTTGTGCCCTTTGCGGTGTACGTTGAGTTCGAGTTTTATTCGAACGATAAATCAAATAACTAAAAACAATCACAGCGAGTGAAGGAGCTCTGGGGGTCTTTCAGTTCTCCGGTAGTTGATGATCGGGGTCGCACGGTTGACATTCAGCTGTCCCTAGCATAGCCCATAATCAGCAGCAGCTTCCAGAGATTCACAGTGTGTATCCAAGACGCTCATCACATTCTCGAAAACAGATTTAGCGAATACAAGTGAATCCAGCGAAAAAGTCATACTATTGAAATTTTTGCGTTGTAGCAGAATTATGTAATTTCAACTTTGTTTCATGTTATATTTTCCCCGCAAGCAGTGATCACTTAATATTTACTGTTTGTCGCACGCTTATGATCTTGGTCGTGCTTATAATTTATCAAGGTACGCTTCGCCCTTTTAAAAAAGGAAGGTGCTGGAAGCAAGACCAATAATTCTGCTCGCCCTTCGAGAACGACCCGTAGATTTCGTGACACGAAGTTTTTACTGTAACAGCTGCACAAAGCACATGTTGAACATTTTTAATATCAAACTTCCGCTATATGGAACTTCACAAAACGCATGATCGTACCAGCATCCCTGGTATGCTCCGCTAGTTATTTCTAATTTTGAAAATGAAGAAAAAAAATTGGCCAACGCACGGGCTGCCCGTGCGAAGATGCGTTTTTTGCAGAGTTCCCC